TTATCTGCTGTTTGAGCACCATTGTTGTCAGTGCTAACGTTCCCGCCGTAAATCATCACAGCTTCCTGTTTGACCAGAATACTATTATCGAGATCGGGATGACCAGTTTCATCAGGTACTGGCTCACTGTTCCCCATATATTCGTCATTCGTTTCAATGATCAGGTTACTATCTGAAACAGACCTCTTTGCCGAAGGCAACGAGGTGAGAAACGTGTCAATTCTATCATGGCACAGTTTCCACTCTCTATCAAGGTACAAGTTTAGTTGTTCGACCTTGCTTAGTGCAGCATCGGTCTTGGTACGCAAAAATTTCAGTTGCTCTAAAGAGTCTTCCAGCGATCTTAGGGCCTGTCGACAACGGCCGGTGGTTTCGTTGACCGGAGGCAGAAGTTCGCCACATGAGTATGCTTGAAACTCTTCCGGAAGCATCTTTAAAGAAGACGCGTTCAAATTCTGGATGAAGTTCAAAGCGCAGCACTGAAAGTGACAGACGGTATAAAAATCAAATTGCCAATAGAACGACTAACTGCAATTACCAAGTTTGTGAAATAATAGCCTGCTTCGCCAGACATCGTTCTACACGGAAGGGAAAAACGCGTGATGAAGTTAATATTAGACTGAATCAGCGGAGGATTCGACTTCAACAGAACATATATAAGGGCGGGTAAAAATTCATCCGCACTGGCTGGAACGCCGTGGGATTCTTCAAACGCCTCAAAGATTAACTTACAACACGTGACCAAACACTGAAGTTTCGAACCAGGACTTCTACAGCTGTTCATGTCGATAATCTCTAAAATACAACAGACAGTACGACAATACATCATCACCGTCGCTTCAGTCAAAAGCAAACACATACCAGACACTGTTTTATCGAAAAGTTCTCGGACCGATGGTTTATCCAAATCCAAGCCGGGATCGAGAAACCCGCCAGCTACCCACTGCAATGTACGAATTCGATCATGCATCGACAGATCACTACCTTCCTCATCTGTGCTGCTGCAGAACAAGTATAAATAACAACGTATGCAGATGAATGTCTCGATTTCAGCCAAAATGTCGTCAACCGCCGGCGACTTATCGGTAATACCTAAAAAGTTTAAAAAAACAGAACACGTCCTCTCGCCAGAACCACGGTGGGAGTCAAGGACGGTACCGTATGTTTTGTTAAGTCTTTCTGCCATGGTCTGGTAAAAATCCTGCACCATCTCGGATAAGTTTTCGATCGATATAAAGCTGCTTTCCTGCGATATTTTGCGAACGACATGCATGCACTGCTTCGCAACCGCGCTGGCGACCGCCTTTGGTAACTTGCATAGAAAGTTGTAGAATTTTTCCTTTGCAATTATGCTTTCGGTACTGAGCTGGCGCTGAAGTCGCGGCTTCATCGTTTGCACTTGTATACCACCTAAGGCTTCGCCAGCATTGTCTGAAAAAATTTGGTACCTCCTATAAAGGCATATGTTGAAGCTCTGGAAAGATAAAGATTTTGAAAATGGCACAAAGATGCGGATATGCAACGCTGCGTTCTGAACACCTATCACTATAGCCTGGAATTAGCAGCACTTAATAAAGCATAAAACAAAATTATAAGTGACGGAAAGAAAGATTTTGCGATCCATATTACGAGTGACGTGGTACGACCTGGTGTAAGAGATTAGAAAATTCAACTACAGTAACCGACTGGCTGCAGACAATGCGTTTCAGATGGTGGGACCATTACCAACGAATGGACGATAGTCTCATTGCGAAGCAAATACGAAACCTTCGAAGGGAAGACCAAATGGAAAGATGGAAAGATCTAATCTAATTAGTTCAACCGTCGTTCTTGGTCCTTCGCTAGAACAGCTGTCTTAATGGCACGCTATAAAACTGATCCGATAGAGGCAAGATAGGTGTGGATCTCCATGAGAAGAGTAACTCATTTCTTAGTTCAAATATTCTACAGGTTTCCAAAAGCACTCGAGGCTAAGGGGTCCTCATTTTAACGCTGGCTAGATGGTGTCATTGCCGGAGATGATGAAATCGAGATACTAAACTTTCTGAAACGTCTAAACTTGATGTTCCACTAGTAGATTAGTTGTGCCAAACAGGTTCTTAATAACTTCTGACTTCCGGGCGTTAAAGAAGAGACCGGCTTTCGAAGCTTTGCTATCAGGTGACATAGACCGCTTTTTTGCAATACAATCTGCATAATCTAGGTCAGAATGATATCTAGCGAGATATCTTAAACTACGCCTTCCCTCTAAAATGAAATCTTCGCTGTTGCCACAATCAACATGGTTTCGGATAACAGAGTGGAACA